ACTTGCTTCCTTGTTCCCTTCAAAAAGCATAAATGGAAATGATATACATTGGGTGGCCCAAAATGCACAAAGCATGCATTTTGCATGGCTTTACAAAGCAAGCAATAGAATTTTTTATTGACATTGACTTCATTATGAATGATGTGGAGGTTGATTTATTTATTTATTATTTATTTATTGCCACATCAGCAACTTATGGCTATTTCGAGGCAAAAGGGATATGATATGAAGGTTGAAAATTGATATGATATGAAGGTTGATATTTTCAGTGGATTTCCACAGAGCTAAAGATCTGCTGGTGTGCTTTGCTCAATAACCCATTTGATTAGTGGATTTTTCTGTAGGTAATGCATTCATTCATTCATTTTCCATTGACTTAGTCCCTGATTATCAGGGGTCGCCAGAGCAAAATTAACTGACAACTCCTCCAGGATATGCTGTCATAGCGGGTGCCCTTCTAGCAACAACCCAGTACAGGGAAGCACCAATACACTCACATTCACAAATACACACATACACTACGGCCAATTTATTTCATCCAATTCACTTAAAACGCATGTCTTTGGATTAGGGGAAACTGGAGCACCCGGAGGAAACCCACTTGAACATGGGGAGAACATGCAAACTCCACACAAAAATGCCAACCTTGCCCAACTGCGACTTGAACCAGTGACCTTTTTGCTGTGAGGCAACAGTGCTAACTTGAGCTGCCTTCATGTTCTCTAAAACCAAAGATTGGTGCAAACTGAACTGAAACTTATCTGGCTAACCAGCTAATCCAGATTCATGGTACAGGCCCCAGGTTTGCCTTTAAAGGACACCTATTATGCAGAACCTACTTTTACAAGTTGTTATACAGTACATAAATGTTTATTGGTAATGTGTATCCACAACTACACCATTTAGATAAAAACCCATTAATTTTATACTTGCATAAATCAAAAGAAGTCACTCAGACAATTTGTTTGAAAATACTGTAGGTTGTGATGTCACACTCTACTGCCCACAACTGTTGGAAGTCACTCCCAAATTAGTATAATCATCGCACTGACAAGTGTTCAGTAGCTATGTGTGCAAATTACAATAGCTTTCTCCATTTACACCCACTATCTTGGCTGCTAATAACAGTGAATTCATTTTGTTTCAGACTGAATATCTCCCTTCGCTCTACAGAGATTAATTTGAGCCTGCAGGATTCATTTAACACCAGACCGTTTTAAGAATGAGGGTCAGAACAGAGCAGGTTTTGCTGAAAAGTTGCTTCTGAAGGACTTAACACAACCAATTCAAATTATTTGTGATGCAGTTACACATCCAGATGTGATTGGTCTATGTATAGTAGAATGTTTGACAATCACAGATCCTAATAATCTGCCGCTGTTAGCCAGCTCTACGATCAATGCAAAGTAAATAGTCGTATAAAACACTTTCTGTACCTTTCTGTAATTTCTATCTCAATCCTTCTCAGCTAAAATCATAACTGCAAGTTCGCAATGAGAAATTTAATAACACAGCTATAAATGAAGAGGCTTCAATCACAAATTAAGAGGCTCGGTTTGCGAATGTTAAATCATCTATGTAATAGATCTCCACATAGCATATATATTATTTTGTTTGGTGGGCAGGCGGTCACATTTACCACACTGATACATGTACAACACAGCCAAACATGTTAAACATGTTTATTTATAGATCATGGGCAGCAACTTTTGCCACAGGGCAATTGTGTGTGGCTCATTCATCGCTACAAAAAGACAGAATAAACTCTACACCAAATAAGTATTTTTTATCAAATAACCAATTGGCAAAAAAAAAAAAAAAACTGTTAAAACAACTTTGTACACCTAAATCTTACTAATCAGATCAGGGGGTGTGTTTATTATTAGCAATAACCCCCTTACACAATTCAATGTTGACTCTAATGTCAAAACATTGTAAACCACGTAGCAAACACACACCACCTGATGAGGAAAAGAAGATCAAAGTCATCAAAGACGAAGTCTTTGATTGTGTTTTACATTGTGTTTTAATCATATTTCACGTTCATACATTTAAAATGTCCACGGAGCTCAGTATATTTTTGAACCACTGAAGCCACATGGAATGTTTCGACCATGTTTTTGGTTCCTTTTCCTTGAACGTCTCGTGATTATTGTGGTCTATTGAGGGTCAGAGCACTCTCAGGTTTAATATAAAATATCTTAATTTTAGTTTTGGAGATGCACAAAGGTCTCAAGTAGGGCTGCATCAATGAATCGATTAAATCGATAAAAATAAGATTACTAAAAGCACTGGAAATGAATTCCATAATTGATTTGTTGTATCACATAACACGGGATATTTAAAAAATATATTTAAATTATTTAAACGGGATTATTTAAAAAAAACAAAAAACACTTTAGTTCAGCAGGGATCGGAGTGAACACGGGCTCTCTCGCGCACTGATACAAAGTTTGTTCTCGGCCTCAGGGCTGAGGAGGGAAGGGAGTTCAACAGCAGGGTAAATCACTACAGAATCCTACTTTTGTTCTGTTTCGAAGTGAGGACCGTAAAGTCCCTGGTGCTGGTGTTTTTACGTTATCCAGCTTGACAAGCATGACAAGTTAGCGTTAGCTCGTTAACCCTTAGAGCGGCAACTGAAAAATTCAAACTGAGCTTTGGCGCTGAGCCAGAAAAAGACGTGTCATATCATCACAATTATGCAGTGTTTATGTTTTAGACATGTAAATACACACAAGTACTGGATTTAGAGTTCGTAAAACGCACAAGGAAGTCTAACAATCCATTCAAATATAATTTGCAGATGTGTTTTATTCATATCAGATACACATAGTGAAAGTAACTATGAAATTGAATTCTTCTCTAAGTTCACCAGCCACTTACTTGCATGTATTTTGGGAGTAACTTATGAATTCACGTGCTGAATCCTGCGTGTTCTGCTTTTATGAAAGAGGCAAACCTGCGGCCGCAAGTAAACACGGCATCGCCCATTTCACGTTATAGATCACGATCACTTACACGCTTTTGTGAATTGGAATATCAGGTAGTTGATATGAGCAAGTGTGTGAATATGTTAAAATAAAACGGGAAAATAACAAAATAAAAGGGATACATCTGTCATACAGCGATATTGTGGCTGAGATGTGTCACATGACAAACATGATGTGTCGCCTCGCCACGGAAACAATAAGGGTGAACATTCTAAAAAATGGTCGCCTAAAAACTTGACTCCTGGTCCCAGAATATTGTAAACCAACCAGCAAAAGGGTTAACAATAGTAGTAAAGCAGCGGTGGTATAGTTACATCACACTTTGCAAGACTAAAGACACATTTTTATTCACTCGCCTTTTTTGGATCAATAATTTTTCCATCTGTTGTCATGTATACCTACACTGCAAAAAAGCTTTTCTTACTTAGTAATTTTGTCTCGTTTCCAGTCTAAATATCAAAAAAAATCTTAAATCAAGAACAAGAAAAACGGCATGAGGAAATTAAGTGATGCTTAAAACTTCTGTTTGAGATTATATCTCATGAAGATTTTTTTCTTACCTCATTGGCAAATATTTTTTCTTATTTTAAGCAAATAACTACTTAATTCGAAATTATTTTTTTCAGAAAACAAGACATAATTTCTTATGCTACTTCATGTGTCTAGTATGTATCTTGATTTAAGTTTTTTTTTTAGATATTTGGATTGAAAACAGGACAAAACTACTTGGTTAGTTTTATATTTAATTATTATTATTATTATTATTATTTTTATTATTATTATAACAGCTTAGCGATGAGCTTTTTTGAATAAAGGGTTGGACATGAATGCTTTTCTTGTTTTATTTTTAATCTGATTCATCGATTAATGGAAGAAACAATCGACAGATTAATTGATTATTAAAGTAATTCTTAGTTGCAGCCCAAGTCTCAAGAGTTTTTGATAACAGAATATGGTAAAACTAATCGTTTATCTATGAAGAAAGAACAACAAGATACCCAAAAAATTATATCTAGATAAGAGAAAAAAATTAGGACAAATCTGAGATATATCATCAGTACATCATATACACAAGAAATATTTTACTGGGATTGCAGTTTAATATTAAGTAATTGACTAGTATACAATTATAGTAGTGTTTATCTTGTCAATAGTTGAAATGGACTATTTCCTAGCATACAGTTAAAACCAACATGATATTTTGGAATCATAAAAAAACATGTTCATGTATTGTTAATTCATAACTAGCCATGTGTTAAGCAGAATTTTGTACAAAGAGCTGGTCTGGAGCTCCACAATATCATTTATTTTGCCTGGAAGGCAGTAAATTATCCCTTGTAAACTACATTACAGCTCGATCATGTTCAAACCTCATTCTACAGCACAAAACAGACAAAATATCATATTATGAGTGACAAAAACAACGCATTTAAGGAACAGGACAACAATTTGCCATTAATTTATAATTCAGCGCGATTCTCCATAATCAAAGGCGTCAAAATAACGGTTCGGTTCCCAATAACCTAGCAACAGCCCTCCGTCACTGGACACCATCAACACACACGACAGCTCGCGGGCAAGGCGGATAAAAACACCCCTAAATGTGCTTATAATGGAGTGAAAGACCATGGCAGTTAAGTAATGTAATTAGCGACTAATGTAAACAAATAAAGATAAGATACGCTAGACCACATATGAGATGTGTGGAATACGTGCGCGCGCACCCCCCTCACCCCACCCATATAGCGGAGAGATGCTATCAGCACCTCCATCATAATGAACCTTATTCGCCAAACTAGTCTAAAACGGCCCTGAAAGATAGTATTATAGACACGTGCTTACAAAAAGCATACAAACCACGCCGTTTAAGCTGTAAAAATATGCCTGAGCATCACGCTTGGGGGATAACGTTAACGTACACGCGCAGGTTGGTGCCATCATCATCTCTCGCGCACCGTCGAGCGAACGCTCTCCTCTCCATAATTCATCACAATAAACTGATGTACATACCTGCTAATTGCATGTCCGCTCTTAAAATACCGGGCGGTCAGCGCGAACCGAGGAGAAACTGTGCTGAAAAGCGTCTGCTCGGTGTAGTAGAATTGATGCTCGGGCTCGGTCTCTATCCGCTAATCCACCCCACACAAAGAGCAGAAAATGGCTGCAAGTGCATGCTCTTAAAGAGACAGGCGCCTGTTTTAAACAGCATCTCTGGTGTGAGTCATCAGTTTACCTACTTAATTTTTCCCCAATTCTTCGAGTCGATTAACATAGATATATTGCAAATACTCATGTATACACATTTATGATATTAAGTTTACACGGCATAATGTGGGTCTTTCGCAAGAAACTATTTAGATGCCTTTAAGTATTCTGAAGGGGGCTCCTGTGTGAAGATCTAATACTGTAAACCTTTTATGGTATAGTTTATTGAGGTAAAGTTGGTTTTATATTCGCACATTTGGTCAGTGACAACTTGTGACATGCTCCCTATATTGTTTACCATGGTACTTGGAAGTCTGAAATCCCTTTAAGTATGACTTGAAAACAACATTAGCATAACTTATTTGACTGTTAACAATGTTGTACTTTGATAGTAATATGATTTCACCATTTAAAATTTGCAAATAATTTAATGTTTGTGAAATTATTAATTTAAGCAAAAATTGTGAATGTATGAATATAAAACCAACTTTACAGTTTATTTCTTGACCCAAGGATTAATTAGCCTCAGACCTTGTAAATTTTAGAAACGGCCCATCATGTTTCTTATTTTCTATGTATTGAAATACTAAAAAAATATTTTTTTCCTAGAAGCGCATTAAAAACATGCACTTATTTGGTGCTCACAAGGCCCCAGGCTGCATGTACATGGCACACACTGGCAAGCTAGTGCTTCTATTCTGTGCCGTTGTCACAGTAACCAGTGAAGGCATTTGTGCACCAATCAGCAGTAACAGCAGGTCTGCATCATGTGATTACATGTTTATGCCAGTTATAATAAACAGTCTGTGCATTTGGATAGTAAAGTAGATTTAATGTAACCATATTTCATAAACAATTCAGCTCGAATAGGGTGTTGTTAACATTCACATCATTTGGAAATTGTACATACAACTCTATGCACGCAGACAAATGCACTACTAAATAAATCAGTAGCCTGCAAATATAAAAAAAGTGACATTTTACTGAAAACATTGCAATTAAAATAATTAACATTGTAATTATACACTTTCACTGGTATGAAATTAAAACTAAACAAACATGGCTCATGTGTGCCTCCTAAGGGACAGATTTGAGATTGCAGAAAACATGCATGTACATAAAATAAAATACCATTCAGTGGCATTAAACAATACCTGTGAAATAAATAAAGTACAAAAATAAATACAATATGTGATTTGTACAATATACACTATTTTAACTCTAAAGGGATAGTTCACACAGTAAAACAAAATTCGGTCATTATTTACTTTGGTCATTACAAACTGTACAGATGATTTTTGTAGCTTGATTTTTGTAATAACAGGTCAAAATCTCTAAGTAGGCTACTGTATATTTGATTTGAGCTGTAGCTTGAGGCACATTACAATTATTATTATTATAATTTTTTTACATTTCATTACAGGGATTCAAACATTTTCCCAAAAACGTATCTGTGTTCCACCATAAATAGCTAACAGGTTCGCGATGATATAAGATAATTAAAATTGTTCCTTTTAAGTGAACTATCCATTTAATTTTGCAAAAAGAGAAAGGTGTGATGATCAGGTTCAAGGTTCTTGATCAAGGCAGGCCAGTTCATGCAGGAGAAGCGCAAATGAGGGTCGATCCTCAGGTTTCTGTTGAACAAACATTGTTGTGTTTATGAAGCTGTGGCAATAATGACAGTAACAACATTCATAGGTAAATATCTGAATAAACAGATTAGGATACAGAAACATCACCTGCTCCAAATTACATGGGAAACAAAAGACTTGTAAAAACTGTAAATAAATAATAAAAAAAAAACCCAACATTATCCATATTTGAAGCTCAGAGAGGAACTCAAATGGGAACATGACTGACTTCCTCAGATTGATTAACAGGATTTCTTTCCTTGTGTGGTATAACATGATTTATTGAGACAGTATCTTTTGTTGAGATTATTTCAGTTTATGGTGTTTGTGCTCATATAAAGGGACTAAGCTGAAAAGAAAATGAATGAAGATTGTTTATGCTGAACTTACCTCTTTCCAGCTCCACTGCATTAACTCGTACACACTCTGAGGACACAGCCGTGGTTTCAGGAGTCTATGCCCTGCATTTAGGGTCTCCACTACTTCTGAATTGCTACGGTTGTCATAGGGTGTGCGTCCCTCACTGTACACCTCCCACATGAACACACCTGCAAACACATGATCAGATCAAACCTGAGTGTTTACTGATTGCTGCAGTGGGTTATTTCTGAGAAACACTGCTGATTATTGAAATTGACACTTAAACTGTCACACCCAAACCCAAAGGACATCACACCCCTTGCTTCTCGCTAACCACTGATGCTGAATAATAAGGTAACTACATTACCCATGATGCTGTACAAAACATCCTACCAATCAGATAGATGGTGCCAGCAGAGGGCTTTAGCCCCGCCTACTCGCATAAAGCACCATAAATGACATAAGCTCCATACACTTTAAAAATACATTTAATATTTATGCACATTTTGTAAATAATAAAAAAGATATTTGTCTACAGATAATATCAGTAACTATAAATAAACAATGAAATGGCACAAAATATACAAGAAAAAAGGTTGAGGCCTAGCTCCAGACAAACACTGACACAAAAGTGCCCTTTTACAATTTCTAACACAACAACAACAACAGAACATTAAAGAAACTTGCATATTTTGCTGATTACTGCTGTAAAAATTATCAATTATCATGTTTTGGCCTGTACTATCAGTCAGAATCTAATAAAACATTTAGAGTATTAAAAGTACCAAAACAAAGGCCAAAAGTTATAACAAATCAAGCAGAATAGAGCCTATAAAAGTCAATTTATCAAGATATTTGACCTTTTCCTGCTTGCTAAGTTGTCCTCTATAAATAAACCACAGGAAAATGTGTGAAAGCTGCTAGTAAATAAGCTGAACAATATACTTAGTAGTATATTACTGTGCAATTCAATGCTGGTGTTTACATCAGAGTATCTCCATCATGACATACAGGAAACTGACGAAATCTTGACGCAAGTCAAAACTCTACTGCTTCCTTCACATGCTATTGGATTTATCATAAATATGAGTTTTCGAATTGGAATTTGGACATAAACAGCCTCTAAAGCAGGGGTCACCAACCCTGTTCCTGGATAATTACCTTCCAGCGGATTTCAGATGCAACCCTCCTCAAACACACCTGTCTGAAATTATCAAATGCTTTATCAGGTCCTGTTACAGTTTTTCTCAGTCGCTTCGGTGCATTTCTCACAACACAACACTATTTACATTTAAACAACAGTTAATGCATTTCTCAAAACAATTAGTACAAACTGCAAAACCTAATTGATAATCTGCAAAAGCATGTCACTTGCTCAAAATGGAGAGCTCATTCCTCAAAAGCAAGAATTCATGTCCATAAAAGTGTCAGTGTCATCAAGATGAAAAGTCCTGACACCATTGTTTATGAACAAGATAGTCATTTGATAGTTTTTACTGCATTTGCTCTTTGCAATTGTAATTTATTCACAGCATTGTGCAAAAGAATAAATTCACCCTCATTTACAACAAAAATAAACTTATAGAGCTGTGCACAACTGTAAACAATATTGCAGTACGTATTGTAACTGAACCTACAACATACACAGGTATGTAAATCATTCATGAAACGGTTCAATTTAGAAGATATTTTCAGGGAAAAAAAGATGAAATATATTTTTTAAATAAAATTAGTTTGACAGATTTTGACAACTAGTTCAACATTTTTGTATGTAATGACTCAAGTAATGAAATGAGGACTATTAGTTTTATATGGAATGACTATTCAGCATTCACAAGTTGACTGACATGACATAAGCAAATGATAATGTTATAAATAGCAAAGAGTTGTACAAAGGCAGTTGATGCATGTCCAAAAGCATTTGCAATTTGTTGGAAGGAATGAGAAACTGCTACTATGATGTGCACAAATGACTAATTGTTTTGAGATATGCATTACCTGTTGTGCAAATGTAAAGAGTGTTGCGAGAAACGCACCAAAGTAACTGAGAAAAACTGTAATCGGTTAAGGTGTGTCCGATCAGGATTTGAGTTCAAATCTGTAGGAAGGTAGCTCTTCAGGAACATGGTTGATGTGACCCTGAAATATTGCTTGAGCTAATATTTTGAAATTTTCCAAAAGATAAAAATATTATAAGAATTACTGTGAAACATTCCTCGCAGTTATTTAACTTTATTTGGGAAATGTTTGAAAGAAAAAGAAAAAACACAGAAGGGCTAATAATTTTGATAAATAAATCCATGTAAATGTATTAAAGTGGATTATGTTGTTGTTGTTGTTTTTTCAACAACAAAGCACTTGAATGTGATAAACTCAGAAATTGAACTAGGTCATTTCTAATAGGATGCGATTCACAAACAAAAAATATTTTGTACTTAAACTTTCATGCTGAGTATGTACAGTATATCACATTCACACACAAAGCAGACAGCAAGCACTTAAAAACTTTCTTTACATGTTGATTTCAGCAGCGTTTCACAGAAATCCCTTATTACCTTATTTAAAAGCCTTTTTTAATTAACATGGATCAATATGGACTCACCAAATGACCACACATCTGATTTGCTGCTGTACTTCCCAAATTTGATCACCTCTGGAGAAGACCACCTGACTGGAAATTTGGATCCATGAGAACTTGTATACTGGTCATCCAGGACAAACCTGCAGATACAGGGGTCTTTAAAAAGTGCCTTGTTTCAAAAGCTTCAGTAATGAGCACGACAATAAAAAAATTCAGAGATGCAAACTAAATCAAATACAAACACAAAAAATATATATAAATCAGCTTGTTTAAACTAATTATTTAAAATGAGCTGAAACAACAACATTTGTGAGAGTTGATTTGT